CTATAAACAAATAAACAAGTGTACAGTGAGAGATACGTAAACATATCATGATGTACACAACCGACCTGTCTATTGATTAATTAATAGACAGGTCGGTTGTGTACATCTGAGTTAAGCTTCACCTCTTCGTTTTATTGCTCTATGGCCTGTAGTAAAGGATAAGCGTACATCACTATAACCTCATTGGTTATATTTCTATGACAAGACTAATGTCGTGTGTAAATATTTCTATAATTATATAGATAAACGTTGTAAATTGTTCTATGAAATTCTCAAGTTTTTCTTAAAAACGCAAAACTATTAAATTTTTTTTCCAAATTAAGGAAGGTTATGCTGTTCAAAGTTCCGAAAAAATTCTAAATTGTGTTCACAACAACAAACTTGTAAGTTGAAAGTTCCTAGAAAAATGTTGTTGATGTTGTCAATTTCATGTTTTACTCATTGTAGCTCGGTGGCATTTCTCTGTGCGCGAGACAGCTGTGTGAAAATACCGCGGAGAATTGTATAAAAGGATGAGAGTAACCTTCTCTTCATCAAACCGTTTAGCAACACTGTTCAATCAACAATGAGAGCTTTTGTAAGTAATAACTAAGTTTAAACTGGGAAATGTACAGTGGGACCCAAAAACGATGGAATACGAAAACAAATGTTTTGTGGTCATCTCAAGTTTTGATTTAGTCCAATAAACAGGAAACACAGTGAGCAGACCAATTTAACTTAATAAGTTGATTTTGGCGCTACTGGTAAAAATATTTGCTTTACAACAACATAAAATATGCTTAAGATTATTTAAAATTTGTCTTCCTATTACTTAACTTTTTTTGAAAAAGTAATTTTTGATTTTAATGATGGAGTACCTTTAAGGATATATTGCATGGCAGTAGAAAAATATAAATATATATATTTTCCTTGTTACCAAATTAATTTCAGGTGGTTGTCTCTTCCCTTCTTGCTGCCTGTAAAGGACAGATATACAGCAATGGTATCATCAATGGAGTCTCTGCTTATGCTGCTCCCTTGACTGTTTCCTCTTATCAAGCTGCTGCTCCTGCTGTTCCTTCAGTTACCAGCTCCCAATACCGTTCCGGGGATGAATATGGAAACAACGCCTTTGGATATTCCAACATCAACTCTGCAAGACAAGAGCAGGGAAATGATGCTGGAGTGACTGGGAGCTACAGTTATGTTGATGAGGCTGGAAGTCATACTGTCTCCTACATTGCTGATGCTCTTGGATACCGTGTTACAGGTCACTCCAACCTTCCCATTGCTGCTGCTGGATATGGTAGACATCGCAGGTCCATTGGTTATGGTGCTTCTCCTTATGCTTTGAACTATGGAGTCCCTGCCTATCCTGCTCCTTTGACTGTATCCACTTATCAAGCTGCTGCTCCTGCTGTTCCTTCTGTCACCAGCACCCAGTTCCGTTCCGGGGATGAATATGGAAACAATGCCTTCGGATATTCCAACATCAACTCTGCCAGACAGGAACAAGGGAATGATGCTGGAGTGACTGGAAGCTACAGTTATGTTGATGAGGCTGGAAGTCATACTGTCTCCTATATTGCTGATGCTCTTGGATACCGTGTCACTGGAGCCACCAACCTCCCAGTGCCCGCCAGGGGCTACTTGCACAAGAGGTCTGTTGGCGATTATGCTGTCCCTATTGCCACCTATGCCGGTGCAGAAGCTCCAGCAAGGGAAGCTGTTCTTACCACCATCCAACTGAATCCTGGACATGCTACCTTCTACAGAGTAGACTAAAACTAAAGAAACTGATATCCTACTCTCCGGGAATTAAACCTACCAGTGCAATATACTTATACAGGGGGAAACACAAACAGGGAGAATACCAAACAATCATTGTTAACTGTGTTGAACATAGTCGGTTTTGATAAAAATAAATAATAAATCTCAAATAGCAAATATTTTGTGATTACCTGTTCATTTTAAGAAATGCATGTGTCCAACTTTTATCCCTATTGAAAAATGTCAATTTAAAAACCAGCAATTTCATTAATGGTAAGAAACATCTAGAAAATTCACCGGAAGAAAATTTCTATGCAATCGTTGCCAATTCAAATTTTAACTTTGTAATTCTGAGCAATTTTATGTTTCTTTATGCACAAAAAGGAATTTGGCACAAGGAAACACAATTATTGAACAAATCTGTGCAAACAATTGCGCTAAAAATTGGCTAATAAGTGTTCGCACATTGAGTAAAAAGTTTTACCAGCACAAATTTCTTATTTTCTTTAATCATTTATCTTTTTTCTAAAAATGTTTGATGATCTAAATGAACTGAATACAATTATCTATTTATTTGCCCAAAGTTTTTGGCAAAATTAAGCAATTTTTTTGGAAGCAACCTGTTAAAGGCTTTTCCATATATCAACAAAAATGTGTATTCACAAGGAAGCATAAAAATGTTTTAACTGTAACACAAACAAAATATTCGCGCTTAGATTGCTCCAAAACCGCACAACACATTAAAAAATCTATTCTCTAAGATCAAACATGTAAAACACAAGAAATACCATTTCCAAAAGACGACTTCCAGAATAAAATATGACTTTAAATAGTCCTAAGAGCATGAGACACAGCAATTGTGCAGTGTGAACAGACACATTTAACATAACGATTTCATGAGTTGCAAGGTACACTAGTTGCTTTGTAACATTAATTACACTAGAGTATTGCCAAAATGTCGTCTTCCTTTTCTGCAGTTTTCTGGTTCTTACTGTTGCTTCGCATAGGTTTAGCATATTTAAGACGAATATCTAGAAGGGCTGTGTGCCATGTGCATCCATAACAATAAATTAAAAGTTGTATTTATAAAACCTTGACACAGTGGCACAACAAATAAGTACCTCAGTAAACCAGAGCTGAAAACTTTAGAATGGTGGATATCGAGATTAATGCTTGATCCTCTCTTTTTCATAATATCGAGACTAACCTAACCTTGTACTTGTATCCTGAAAAGTTCATATAAAATTCAACCAATCAGGGTCGCGTATATAAAGCTGATAAATTTTAAATTTTGCGCGCCATTTAAGATTATATTCAGAAATGGGAGGAACTCTCTAATTTAGAAAACCGGGTTTATTTTTCTCTGCTTTATCCAAGAAAGAACGGGTTAAGACGAAAATCGAAATTGTGTCCATTGGATACTCAGATTAAGTAATCGGGATTAGGGATATCTCATTCTAAAGTTTTCTGCTCAGATCTTTAACTACAAAGAGTGAGACTTCTAATGCAGGTTCTAAGTTGAGTGGGTCAATTTTTATCGAACAAAACGGGTAAACGGCGGGAGTAATTAATTGCAACCTTGGCAAAGCTGGGTTCCCAAGCTTGTATAGTGCACACTTTAATAGTTAACTGAATTATTTGGGAGCGAATAAAAAACAAGTTTATATGATAATTAAATTAGTCCCATTCTTTGTAAGTAGCCTTGTTTGTTAATTAATAAAACTAAATAAATAAGTTCAATCCTTTGTGATATCCTGTATGTTAATTGATAAACCGCTACTTCAATTATTTCATTTGAGCCACATTTATGCGAGAAAAATCCAAAACCTGTTTGACCTTTAAAATTAAATGTCAAATAAGAATAAAAACAATCTTAAGATAAATTTAAGGGGGGGGGGGGGGTTAAAACCTGCAATGCAAGATTGTGGGTTAAATTTTGTAATAAAACACAAAGGATTTGCTGCTTTCATGAATTGGTTTAAAGGTCAACATGTACGGTGGAAGAAGAGAGATTACCCAGATTATAAATACACAAAATGTTTCAGATTATGCATCTTTAACCCTATCTCTGCTGGGGTAATTGAAAACCAGGATATGCAGGGGGGGGGGTCAATCCTCCCCTCTAAATCCCATGTTTGATGTCCAAATATGACAAATGATACATCATTAGAAAGCTCTTGTGCTCTTTTAGAATCTGCGAAAAATTTGCAAATTTGCAAAACTTGAATTTCTTATCGCAAAATCCAGTTATATATAAAATGTTTGCAAAAAAAAATTTGTCCAAAAAATGAAAAATTATACATTTTTGAAGAGCCGATAACCATGCCATTTCAAATATGCAAACATTTTTGCAAAATTTTAAATAACCTGATTTTTAATCAAGAAAAACTAAAAATGTGCAAATTTCCTTTGAAAGTTTGCTTGCAAAAAATTTGCATTTTTTTCGCAAAACTTGTGCAATTCGTTTCCTTATGTCAAAGGCTTTCCAAAAAGCAAAATTTTATCAAAATCTGACGAGTGGAAGTGGGTCAAAACAAAGATTTAGTTTGTTAAGTCCAATTTCTTAAAGATTTCTAAAACACTAGAGTAAACTCTAGAGTAGATTTACTCTAGGTAGAAATTTTCTCCGATTTCTTAAACAAGTACCTACCCTAGGTAGTCCAAAATTATTCTAGAGTAGAAAAATGCACGCTTTTCTTGAACACTACGTATTTACCCAGGGTAAATACATAAAACTTGCTTATTGCGCATGTGTATAAAATTACGTCAACAAATATGTGCTGGGTTTTAAAGTAGTCATTGCTTATTGGACTTACAAAAAAATAAAAATTAAATTTTTTGAATTTTGATAAAAACTAAAATAAGAAAAAATCTATTCTTTTTAAATCATGAATTTCTCGTTTTTATCACAACAAAAAATATATAAAGTTTTTTTCAGGCATCAATTTTGTTAAAGAAATAATGAAAACATAAAAAATTCCCTGCTTCAAAACTCATTTTTTTCAAAGTGAGCTAATTTTGTTTTATTTTATCGTTAATATATTGTTTCGCTTTTCTAAACTATGCAACAATCTTTTATTTATTTTCGGGTCTCTATTAGCGCATTCAACCCTGGATAAGTCTAATAACCCTGGGCAAAACTCGGGGTCTACCCTAGGTAATTTTACTCTTAGAGTCGATCGTTACCAGGGTATTGAAGGTTTAAGAAACAGGAACTAGGGTTAACTCTGGAGAAATTGCACATATCAGGAAAAAGTTGTCATTCAGGCAGTGTGCCCGAGGGCTTTGGGCATGTAGGAAAAGTCAGAAAATTTCAACAGCCTCAGACCAATACTTTTTGAGTCAGGGGGGGGGGGTCAAATTGACCCCCCCCCCCCAAGCAGGAATAGGGTTGAATTTCTCTGTTGAAAAAGGGTTAGAGAATAATCCAACTCCAATTGTAAAATTCGTTAAAATAAAAACTGGTATAGAGATTTATTTTATAAAACTTTATTCTGCACAATTCCTAAATAACATGTTCCTTGGACTAATTAAACTCAACAGTAGTAGTCATCCTTTTCCTGAGTAAGGAGTGCACCATGAGAAATTAAAAATGGACCCATGATTTTTATAAAAAGTAGTGTAGGAATACTGGAACTCTGAGTCAGTGGAAGGAGTATTTCTATTTCTTCACAATTTAGAAACCGAAAATTCATACGGACAAACACAAAATGACCGTACTAAGGTTATGTTTGCACACATGAGTATGTTGTAGAACTTCAAAACCATGCTCAGATTCAAAATGCCAAATAAGTTGCCCGGTTGGTGTAAATTCAAACGAGACATTTGTAGATTCCTTACATAACCTTTTGACCTTTAGACCATGTAAAGGTCATTAATCTGAGAAATGGTTTCGAATATCATAATCTGCTTCTTACCACATGTTTATGTAGATTTACAAAAGACACAAGATAAGTGTAGCACATGAAAATTTGCAGCATTTAAGTTTAATACAGAGAATGATCAGAAGAAGCTTTTTAAACTTCAGGTCAGAAATCAGTTCCCATAAAGTCAAGAAAGTGGAATTGCCGAGAATCTGACTATTATTTTACTGAAAATAATTTCAGTCTAAATATTTATTAAAATATTAAAATCTATAAAATATATCCATTGTATCCATGGATTACTTGCAGCACTGCTTGATTGGAATCTCATGAACTGGATTCCCCTTGACAGCCTTCACCACCAGTACTCCATCAGCTGCCAGATTGGAGGTCACGTGTTCAGGACATGTTCCTTCAGGGATAGTATACCTAAACATTAAATATTATTTGCCGGGATAGTATACCTAAACATTAAATATTATTTGCCGGGATAGTATACCTAAACATTAAATATTATTTGCCGGGATAGTATACCTAAACATTAAATATTATTTGCCGGGATAGTATACCTAAACATTAAATATTATTTGCCCATAAAAAATATATCCATGATGGAAGAGCTTAAACATTCCCTGCTATGAAAATCTCTTCAAAGGAATTAAGTTTAATTAAGGTTTCTTCAGGTATTTCTGCAACAAAAATGCGCAAGATTTAGGACATCATTAGCATTAATAGTACATACCAATTAACCAATTAACAGTACATACCAATTAACTATTTTATACTAAGGGTACAATTGTGAAACGGGCATTGTCATCTTTGTAGTTAGGATCACATATGATTAACAAATACTCCCGTAATAGCTGAAATACCTTCTCTTGAACTGTCTGGTGAGAAGTCTCTTACCATCCTCGCTTCTCTCCTCATGTCTACCCTCTACACTGATACCGTCCCTCTCCACGTGTACATGGATCTCATCAGGCCTGTAGTGAGATGTATCCAAGCTAACCTCAAACTCCTTCTCATTATCCTTGATTCTGAAACATGAAATCTTAGGAACGTAAACATTATTTTATCCTAACCCCCCCCCAGGTTTTGTAGACAAAATACATCGAAGAAACCCGTGGATTGTAACATATTAATTTCTCGAAAAATTAGTTTACGCAATATCGTTTGCGAGATGAAAATCAAGAATTTTATACACAATTGCTCTAAGGAGGGTTAACCTCCCTCTGTTGGGTGAATCATGTGTTGGTAATGTTGAACAGACAGTGAAATTATAAACTGATAGTTGTAGATCAGGGTTTCTAACACAATATGATAACATAATAAAACAGGAAATCTAATGACAGTCGAAATTCAACCTAGAAAGCCCAAATATCTTTAATAATAATAAGATGAAGGATTTCAAGATTAAATTATGTAACTAGAAATAAAGGTAAAAATTAAACACAAATCATACCTATTTGATTAGTATCGTACTGTTGAAGTATAATAAAATTTACAATTAATATAAGTTGTTGACTTGTTTGTTTACATTTCTGTTGTTTACAAACATTTTCCTCAATGTAGGGAACCTGTCAGAAATTATCAAACTAAATTTTTTGATTTTAAGAATTTATTTAAACAATGTTTTCGCGAACTGTGTTTTCAATATTATTTTCTTTTTATTGATGAAAGAAAGCTCTTGATATATCTTTCATTGAGTCTCACTCTCTACTCACTGAAACTAAAATAAGATTAACAAAATGACGAACCTATAAATGCAATGGTTAGAATTTTTTTTACACATACCAAACTTTTTACCGCCCTGTACCCTACCATTTGCATGAAACAAATTTTTATTAAAAACTCCTTTAAATTTCTATTTATTAAAAGTCAAAAAATTTCACGGTGATTGTGTCAAAAATGAGAATGCTAGGCCAAAAAAATAAAGGGGGGGGACGCCAAACTCCCCCCTTCCCAGCCTGTTTAGGGTTAAGGTTCAGTTGTGAATCGGACATATTACTGATTAAATAGAGGATAGCTTCTACTAGGTAACCGCCAAAAAAGTCCTTGGAAAAAAGTTTCCAGAAAAAAGTCCTAAAATTTCACACTAAAAATGATCCAAATTGCACATGTAAATGATGTATATAGTACACTTGTACGGGGGATTTTATACACAACTTTTCTTGGGACTTTTTTTCAACAGACTTATATTACTGAGTTCAAATTTTCCGAGACTTAGGATTTTTTTTCTAGCTTTTTCTTTTCCTCGGATTTATTTTCTTCTGGACTTATTTCCTGAGACTTTATTGGCTATTTTAGGAAAAAAAAGTCCCAGGAATCCAAAACACAGGACTTTATTTCCAGTGACATTTTTTCCAAGGACTTGAGAAAATTCGGACTTTTTTCTTAAGTTTTTATTTCCAGGGTTTTTTCCAGAAACTTTTTTTCCCGGGACTATCTTACAGAGATTCCTTTATTATAAACTGTCTTGGAAACCCAGCATTGGAGTTTACCCTGTATAAGTCAACCAACTTAACTTCAACCAAGAACATTCCGGTAAGAGTTCACCGATCAAAAGTTGAGACAAATCAATCCAGGGGTTCCAGAGTTATGATCAAACATCTATACAAAGAGACAGTCAGACAGACAGACAGAGATTTCTATTCTCTATAAATACTAGCTTGGGAACCCAGCTTTAACCAGAGTACTCATAGTTACTCCCGCCGTTTACCGGCGTTTGGTCGTAAATTACAATTTCAGCTATATCCTATAAAAGTAGAGCCACTTTGGGCATTTAAAAGTCACCTCTTTGCACTTATTTCACTGTAAGATAAGCACTTTATTCCAAAATTATCACTATTATTAATAATTTTGTCTGACACAAAAACTAAGTAGACAATTGTGACGTAAGAATACAGCTGTATTTTTTTCCTAGAAAATAAAGTCTCAAAATGTTAGAACTTTAATTCCAGAGTATTTTTAATTCGTGGACTTTAATTCCAGAGGACCTTTTAGTGCCAAAATTTAGAACTTTATTTCCGGAAATTTTTTTGGAGGAAATTTTTTGGCGGTTACCATTCATGGTTCCCTGCAACTTTAATCGTTCTTTTCAAACCATTGAATAAGCCTTGACTATATTCAAAGTAGAATACTTAAGTCAACTTTGAGATCGTCATATTTAAAGAGTTTCAGGTCGTCTTTACGGTCTCATCCTTGGTGGGTAACCCTGTACATACAGTTTTTAATCAACATCAATTAATCAACAGTGATTACCAGAAAACTCTGAAATAAGAAGACGACTTTAAGACTAAATCTATGAATTAAAATAGTGCAAAGAACAAAAAAAAATAATTGTGCGGTGTATAGGGCGCAATTCACTTTATAAGTCATTTAATAAGTTACTAGAAAAAGCTAAATTTGCTTTGTAACAAAATCAATTGAAGTAATTATTGCATAAATGTCGTCGTACTATTCACCAGTTTTCTAGTGTTCACTGTTAGTAGTTTTATAAAATCTTATCAAAGCCGACCTTTAGAAGCTTCTAAGTGAATACTGAAAACTGATGATATACAAATATAAATATATTTATTAATAAACAGCAAGTTTTTCTCCAAAAATAATCAGATTAGTCCCTGCATAAATTTATTAATAATTAACTAATTATTGTATTAACTATGGGTGCCCACTAAAACATAATATTTAAGACCACGTGAAGGTCGTCTTTGATCAAAAATTTCTATTTGTAAGGACAAATGAGAAGAAATGAAAGCAGCTTTTGTTTAACCTTCAAATTAGGAATACAGAAGATCTTGAATTTTTTTATAAAAATACTAAATATTTTTAGTCAAAATAAAAATTTGATTTGGTTTGGCAAATTTTGTTTGCAGAATCTTTCCTACTTTCTAAAAGGTTTCACGTCAGCATGTTTAAGGATATCTAATCGATATAAAGCAATATTTATTAATACTTATTTTGACTTAAACTCTTAACTAAATGAATTTGGAAAAAATATATCAATTTTAGGAAAGTTTTAAGAATATACTTGCAATTATTCAGAACAAAAAGTTTTATCAATCAAAACGTTTTTTTGACGTTTCAAAAATGTGTTTAAAACTAATTTCTGACACCCCTACGGCTATATTGTTCACCAAAACCATACTGCAGTCCATCAATTATTTTCATCTTTTTAAATATCTTGGAAATGGAACCTCGAAAAAATGTTTTTCAATTCTGTATACATTGTATGACATTTGTAATAATCTGAGTTCATTTCCCTTATGTCCATTTGACAATCCAAATTTTTATTTTGAATAATCTTTTTTGTTTGTTTATCTTCAATTGTGATTTTTACATTTTTTTTAAATCGATTTTGATGGTTATTATATCGTTAGAACTGACGAGGGTCAACCCAGACCGAAATATGTTTTTAATAATGTGGAACTAACATCTACTTTTTTACTCTACAGAGGTTCGGTCCATCACCATCACTGAATTTTAAATTTGTAATTATGTTAAGGAAAAGTAGATTTAAAATATAAATTAAAGGAAACAATAAAATTATATTTAAAACTAATGAATAAATAAATAAATAAATAACGAAATTAACATGACTAGAAGTCAAAAAACACAAATCACCAAAACAAAGGAATATTTCTCCACAAGAGATACACTGTATAATTTTCAATTAATCCTGAAATAAAAAGAATAAATAAGTTTAATTTGATGTGTTTTTTGTGTGTGTTTCTAAAAAAACAACTTCTAAACCAAAATTTGTCAAATTTTGAACAAAAAATAGAAAAATATATTTAAAAACTGCAAAAATATTGAGTGTGTACTGTTGTGTGCATCGAATAAACGAATTTGAAATTAAATTAAAATTCAGTAATTTTAATGTCATGTGACCTTCAATTAAAAAGAGTGGCATACACGATTCACAACGGTACTCCCCCATCCTTTATCTGATCGATCAATAATGTGGATTATACCGTCGTTTTTCTAGCTTTAGAAGTGATTCATTATGATAATTCCTACATTGTTCTCCTGCAGCAACAATGTAGAGAAACCACCATTAAAAATAATAAATTTTTAAAACTATAAATATGGAAATAAAATTAAGTCAGAAAAATATTTTCATGGCACTGTTGTGAATCGGAAATGCCAATTTAAAAATGATGGGTCAATTGAAATTACGTTTAGAGTTAAAAAATCTTTCTATAATTACCAATAGTTCAGATTTAGCAGGTTCTTTACTCTAGGTAGACAAGTACTTAGTAGGGTCTACTTTAGGTAGTAGATTAACTAGTATAATCTACTCTAGGTAGTAGATTAACTAGTAGAGTCTACTCTAGGTAGTAGATCAACTAGTAGAGTCTACTCTAGGTAGTAGATTAATTAGTAGAATCTCCTTTAGGTAGTAGATTAACTAGTAGAATCTACTCTAGGTAGTAGATTAACTAGTAGAGTCTACTCTAGGTAGTAGATTAACTAGTAGTTCCTACAGCAAACATATCCTGACCCAGGTCCTCCGCAGGTTGGAGCAATAGAATCACTGGAACCAAACTCCTGGACCAATGAAAAAATTTTAACAAATGGAAAACAGAAAAATTTAAGAAATAAAAAGAAAGGAAAATGTTAATTAAATCTTTAACTTTAAAGTATGAGAAGTTGTTAAAAGTAGAAAACTTTAAAAAAGAAAACATACCTGTGAAGTTAATTGTGCAGCCAACTTCTGTGTGCTCTCTTGAACATCTATCTTGTGAGGCATTCTTTCACCATGATGAACCCGATTAGAGCTGTGACCACTGTGTGCGCCTTCAGGTTGCCTTTTATCCCTGGTTGCTTGGCTATCCTGGTTCTCCATGTCTACCTTTCTACTTGTAGGAAACCTTAAACCTGCTCCCTGTACAGATACAACCCCGGAGTTGGATTGAACCTTGACAGCTCCAGCAGGCATATTAGCTGGCAGGGTCCCGGAGGAATTAGGAACCGTTTCACGTTTAAAGATCTCATCGGAACTGTCATAGGAGTCCTTCAGTAGGTTCTCGGTATGGTAGTAGTGGTGGTGGACATTTATCTGGCCCTTGGACTCATGATCATCATGGTGTTGATGATCATCATGATGTGCAGTGTCTTTAGGAGGAACATAGGCACTTGGAACCATATATTCATCTTTAGGAGCCCCGTATCCGCTGCTGGGAGCTGTGTAAGAGGGTTTGGGAGCAGTATAGGAAGGTTTGGGAGCTTCATAACCGGAGCTAGGCCCTGTATAAGACGGGGCTCCATAACTATCTCCAGTGTTATAAGAGGGAGCTCCATAACTGTCTCCAGTGTTATAAGAAGGAGTTCCGTAGCTATTTCCTAGGTTGTAAGAAGGAGCTCCATAATTGTTACCAGTGTTATATGATGGAGCTCCATATATATCCTTGGTAAGCTGAGAATTGAACCCGGTTTGATAGTTTGAGTTTAATCCAGTCTGATAACCTGAGCTTTGATAACCAGAGTTAGATCCTTGATAATTAGTACTTGGTGCAGAATACTCGGAGGTAGTTTTATCGTTGAGAAATCCAAACGGATTCTTCAATACATCCTTGATAGTCTTCCTTAGGGTTGGCTCTCCGAACTCGTTGTACTCCGCGGTGTCGCAGCCGAGGATTCCACAGCCGTTGGGAGTTAGGTGGAGGTTGACCAGGGGCTTGATAGCGAGGTCACCCTTGTCGTTGGTTCCGGTCTGGAAGGAGAACAAGGGGTTTAGGTTAACAGGGCCAAGGGGAAGACCATCCGGGGAGGTAAAGTAGGGGTTTACAGCGCCTCCAGTCCCTAGAGGGTTAATAGTTTGTCCTGTATACCCGGGCCCATACTAAAAAAATCATAAAAGTTAGAAAACAAATTCTAGATTTAAAATAAATCGTTTTAAAGACGACATTTAAAGTTTTAACTAAAGTTTACCTGGGGAAGTCCAAAAGAAAATCCTACAGTGGGTTGAAGTTGACCGGTAGATGTCGACTGTCCGATTAAGTTAGTCAAATCTCCGAATATTTTCTAGAATAAAAAAAATCAATATTTTATCACAATTCAATGCTTGATTAAACCTATAAAGATCCTGAATTGATAATGTTGAAAATGAACTTACCGATACTCCGGATGTAACAGAGTTGCCAACAGATCCCACTTGGTTAGTCACATCGGATGTAAATGAACTCAAACTATCAAAGGATTTGTTGTCAAAATCTTCTTCCTCAAACTCAGATTCATTTGGAATATCATCAGTGTTCTTCTTGTTTCCCTTTTTAGCGACCTCTTTCCTATTCTTTATCCTCTCCTTCCTCCGTTCCTCTTTCAGCTGGAAAACAAGGAATTTAAAAATTGTTAAGGGTGGGGGATTACCGAGGCAATCAAGTTTTTTAATCTGACATAAATTCAATGATCAAAATCACTTTTGAAAAATTTACCTTCAGCTTGAGATCTGAAACAATATCAATATCTGTATCTCTAGATTCAATATTAAATGGTTCATCACGTCCAGTTGCTTCAGGTTGAACAGTTGTATCAACACCAGGTTGTCCTGTAGCTCCAACCTCTGTAGTAGATTCACCATTCACAGTTTCAGGTCCACTTCCTTCAGTAACAGCTTTGGTAACATCAGTGACAGCTTCTGTTGCTTCCGGTACAAAGGTGTTTTCAAGACGAGCCTGAAAAGAATAAATGAGTTTTTAACAAAAATTGTTTCCTTGAATAAAAATGATAACTTCGCGAAATAAACTTACACTCTTTTTTGAAGGTTCGCTTTCAGAGTCTCTTCTTTTGCGGGAAGGGAAATTAACTGCTAAAATCTCTTTCTTCTCTGTTACAGGTTCAACAGACAACTCTGTGACAGACTCAACCAAAGCCTCTGTCTCCGACTCAGTCTGGACAGTGGTTGTATCAGAAGAATCAGGAACAAGAGTAGTTTCAGTAACTCCGGATTCTGTTGTTGACTCCTCTCCGTCTTTCTTTTCTCCAAACTTCAGAGATCTGAAAGTAATAAAAATAAATTAAAATAGTTACAGATCCTGATCTTGTTTTAGAAATGTTTAAGTGACATCACATTAAAAGAGTTGCATAAATGCCTGATTCACAATGGAGAGATATCAATTTTCCGATAGATTAAATCTTAATGATTTTTGCACAGATAAATGTTTAAAGGATTATGAATCTTCCATGCCCCGCTTTGAATTAAGGGTCCATTAAAATTACGCTCACAGTCCTTTTGAATGTTATTAAACAAATGTTGTACCTTGATCGTTTAAACTGGTTTGAACGGTTTGCCAGTATCTGGTTCCTGACTGCTTTCTGCCTAGGATCCACTAGTGAGGAGTAATCTTGTTTAGTGGGTAGGAATATATTTCCGGTTTTACACTGGGATACAGGAACACAGGAGCAGGGGGGAGGAGAGGAGGATCCAGACTGAGATATCCTAGTCCTAGGTGTAGTAGCGGGGACTGGGTAGTAGGTTTTATCCGTTTCGGAGTTTTTCTCAAAATCACGATTGTCGACCTTTGTGGCGAAGTGTTGATGTTGATGCTCGGAGCTGGGTTTATAAACAGGTTTAGGACTCGTGTAAACAGGACGAGGACTGGTTTTAGCAATAACTACGGTTGGAGCATCATAGGAGGGACTTGGAACATTGTAGCTAGGTTTAGGAGCTTCATAGGTTGAAGTTTGAGCGGAGTAAAATGAACCTTCCTCCTGATGGGACGAATGCTGGTATGGGGACGGAGCGCTATATTCGTCCAAGGGTTTGGGATAGGACGGTGGGTTGTAGGACGGGGTATTGTATGAAGGCTGAGGACCATAGGACGCATGTGGATGATAGTCTGCTCCAACGATCTAACAATCAAAAACTTTAATCAAATAAAAATGCAAAATATTTATAACTTTAAAAAATTGAAAAAAGAAGCAATGATTAAACAATTTTCAATGAAACTTTACAGTGACAATAGGAAGACGACATTAAGGCAATCGTATTAATGTTTATACAGAGCAAATGTTCAACTCTTTGCTTGAAATAATCATACAAGTGAAATGTATAGTTTGTATGCACTGCACAGTTTAAATAATTGAATGGTCGTCTTCCTATTCCACAGTTTAATGGGTTGCACTGTACCTGGGTGGGTATATGAGGCAGGTTGCCTGCCAGCTGAGCAGGAAGGGGTTGACCCACAGGCCGAACTTGAACAGGTTGAACGTACTTCAAGGAATCACTTTTTCCACACTGAAATATAATCTTTTAGAACTTTTCTTCAGATTTGACACAGCAGATATAACTAATTGAACATGATAAAATAATGTCAAAGAAAAAGTCCCTAAAATCTTTGGAATTGATTGACCCCAAGTTCAACTTGAAAATGCTATATTTAAAGAATTTTAGGTCGTCATTAAAGGCTCATCCTTTGTTGTTATCCTGCTTTACTAACATTGGGAATTTCTTTTTTAATCTTTACAATTTATGTAAACTTACATCGGAGAGCCCTAGTGAGCAAAGTTTCTCCTGGAGGAAGAATCTAGCTTCTACGCTGTCTCCGTCGTCCTGCCCTGCTCCAGGTAGATCTGGATCAGCATCTATCCTTCTCAAACTCCGGGGTTTATTAAACAATCCGTGGATAATTCTAGCTCCAAACCCTGAGATTGCGTCCAGACCTTCAACCTGCTCCAGGTCCCTGGTCTGTACTAAACCTAGAACCAGGAGAACAAGGCCAACTGATCTTATTCCATGCATCCTAAAATATAAACAGATGTCCAACATGTTATTATTTATATGCACAAAACAGATGCTTTGATTTAGAATTTCAAATAATATTAATTAACAAATCCTTTTAATAATCTTTAAAGAATTATAAAAGGAAACTGTAGCTTAGGCCAACTGGCCCTCCATTTGTAGAGTGGGGTCCGAGTCTCAAGTTCACAACAGTTCTCTTAAAACCTTTAAATGATAAAATCTTCCAAGAAGTGACACGCAGATTTTTTTCAAGCAGAAACAATTGTGAAAATTGTCAGAATTAAACACTTTAAGCAAGGAAAACGACAATATTCTTCATATACCTCATCAGATAACAGTTTTAACAATACCTTGTGAATCAGACATGCCGCTTTTAAATGAAGGGTTATTTCAAGAACAGTCCCTTTAAAGCTCCCTGAACCCTGACTGTCAACAGTGAATAAACAACAAATGTCAAGATTCAGGGTTATTCTTTTCATCCGCTTTAATTCCATATTCTATTCAGAATAGGAACTAAAGTAAAATACTACCACCCCCCCCCCNAGTAAGGACTAAGTTTATCCACATGATACACAGTTTTTTTTTTACAGATATAATTTGCATAACTATCTAAAGAGATCTTGGCGACTTTTCTTTTAAACGATTTTGCAGATTTAGTTTCTTTCAGCTCTAATCCAATCGAATTCCATATTTTTGGAAATAAAGCAGAGGGAAAACATTCTAGAGTTTTAAAGAGAACTAATCTATCCATTCATCTTATTTTACACATTTATCAAAAGCGTTAAATAAATAATTACAAATCTTTTTAATTGCTTAATTCTTGGGTAAAACTATTTAAAAAGATGTTCAATTTTTCTTTCTTTCCAGATCACCAAAACTATTTTTTTTTCACTGAAGTTAGGTATGTTTGCGCGGAGCACCATAATAATTTACGGGGTTTTACTTGCTGAATTTTTGTGTAAAAAATATTAAAGACAATGAAGCCTTTTAATGTCAAAATTTAAAATTTTTTCCATCACATCATATACAATCATTTCATAAATGAGGTCCGCTTATAGGCACCTCCCAGGTGGGTTGCACTTGTAGGGGGGGCACGTGCACCCAGTACTCCCCCTCGTACGCCCCTGAGTGAATACATGATAAAGTAAAAAACGGATATTGCATCCCTACAAAAGAGAAAGAAAAGATTTGATTAATTTAGTAAAAAGATAATTTAAAAATGAAAAATTGATAACATTTTTAAATGCTTCTTGAATTAAAGCTTTTTTTTACTGAAGACAGAATAATAATAATTAAAATTCAGTGAACCGAGGAATAAAATGCTAGATTGATAGAATTAAGATAAAAAACTAAAATTTACTTCCTTCAAGAATCAACTGATGAAGAAGATTGAAAAGACACAGAAAGAAGGTTGGAGAGATATAGGAAGAAGATTGAAAAGACACAGGAAAAAGGTTGAAAAGATACAGGAAAAAGATTGAAAATATACAAGGTTGAAGAGATAATTAAAGAAGGATGAAAAGATGCAGAAAGAAGTTTAAAAAGACACAGAAAGAAGGTTGAAAAGATACAGGAAGAAGGTTGAAAAGATACAAGGAGAAGGTTGAAGAGATAACGAAAGAAGGATGCAAAGATACAGACAGAAGTTTGATAAGATACATAATGAAGGCTGTAAAGATACAGAAAGAAGGTTGAAAAGATTCAGGAATGATGAAATAATGCTGTGCAAAAGTGATATTAAATAAAAATAGTTTTACTCAAGTAAATATCAACTTTTATTCCAATATCTTTTTACTCCATGCAACTCCCAAACAAAATAATGCTTAAAAATACGAAGAAAATTTCTGCAAGACATTGATTTCTTCTAAATGTCACAATTTTAAGTCTGTATGGGGAGTAGGAAAGGGGGGGAACAAACTAAATCTCCCTCCTCNTCTCTGAAAACTAAAAAACCCATAATAAATGTACCTTTCTATTAAATCTCACATAAAACCGCAACAACATGTTTGTACATGATGTATATATAATGTACAACATTCTAATTTTAATCCGAGTAAGTTAACAAAACATTATGTAAAAGATATTCTAACTTTTGCTGAAATTTCTGATTAAAATAATTGACAAACTCCCTTTTAAAGGCATTTTGATCAGTTAGATCAAATGAAATTGAAATTCTCGGTTGCGAAAAGTTGTCCCCAAAAAATTATCTTTACTTGTTTTTATATCGGTATATCTGTTTTTATATCGGTATATCTGTTTTTATATCGGTATATCTGTTTTTATATCGGTATATCTGTTTTTATAGTCACAAATTTTATTCTTCCTACTTTAAATCTTTTGTAGAATTTAACGTACAAACTAAATATATAATAAATAATAATGTTATTTAACAACCTCTTAGGGAATATTTTTTAGTATATACGCATCTTGGCGTAAAAAGGAAATTCCAGTTTATTGCGGATAATATAATTCCTATGATCTATCCATCCGACAAACTATTAATCATTATAAATTCAAGTTTTTACTTAAACATAAATAAGTAACTGTTTGTTTAATAATACTGATTAAAACTGTAAAATTCAAATATGAAAACCAAATGCATATCAGTCTGTCTACATTGTCAATCTGTATATCTGTCTGTCTGTCTGTCAGTCTTTCTATCTATCTATCTATCTATCTGTCTATCTATCTATCTATCTATCTATCTATCTATCTATCTATCTATCTATCTATCTATCTATCTATCTGTCTATCTATCTATCTATCTATCTATCTATCTATCTATCTATCTATCTATATATCTATATATCTATCTATCTATCTATCTATATAAATATCTTTCTATCTATCTATCTATTTATCTATCTTTCTATCTACCACCATATGTGAATGACGCATGAATGAAGCTCTCTGAATTCCCTGGTGTTGCCCAACTTCAGAGTCAAGTTGCATCAACTATCTATCTATCTGCACTATATCTATCAATCTTGTTAAATGGAATTTCAGGAATGTTCAAACAGAGCTTACTAATGTCCAACAATCCTACAATCCTATTCTATGCATTCTACATATCTTACAAGACCACTAAACTCGTTACAGACATCTGTATTATTAACCATGTTTATATCCATCCTCTTATTACACTTTTTCACCATTTCTTATTCTTTCAACCATCTTTTTTCAACCAACCAAACAACCCACACCTCAAATAATCTTTCCATCCAACCAGCTAAGAATATAACCATCCTACCATCCAACCATCCAACTATCCTATCATCCAACCATCCAACAATCCAACCATCCAACCATCCAACCATCCTATCATCCAACCATCCAACAATCCAACCATCCAACCATCCAACCATCCATCCATCCAACTATCCAACCATCTAACCATCCAACCATCCCACCATCCAACCATCCAACACAACCATCCAACCATCCAACCATCCAACCATCCAACCATCCAACCATCCAACCATCCAAACATTCAACCATCCAACCATCCAACCATCCAACCATCTAACTATTCAATCATCCACAAAAATTCACTAATTCAGCAATTCAACTTTCTAACTCTTGAGAAGTGTAATCATTTAAATGTTTTGAACTATTTATTGTATATGGATTATGTATATCGAGTATATGTCTGTAGTAAACATGATATTCTGTAAACCTGCAGTACGTTGTATATTATTAACAATTATGTTTGCAAACTTATACGTATTGAAACTGCTTTTCAATTGAATACGTAAACATTGTTAGCTAAGTGAAACTGAACTGTTCTTGGATAGACACATGTTTGAGAAACCATTCTGGAGTAGGGTATTTACTACATATCTATATCCACATTTTAATCTAAATCTATAAATACTTCTATATCTATATAAGTAGTATATGCCTGTATAAAAAAATGCCTGAAACTATAAACATGATGAAATACGAATATATATATTTATTTATTCATTTAAACTATAGGAAGGACGAGTTTATATCTTCTGCACTTTTATTCGAATATTAATCTTTTCATTCATCCTCTGGTGAATCTTGAAACACTCACACATTTTAATAGTAACATTTATCTTTTTATCTATTGATTTATACTATTTTTGATTTATTTATTTATTCAATTATTTTATTTCATTCATATTTCATAGTTTTTTAATCAAATACAAAGCACGAGATAATACAAAAAAAAATCACAATTTACTATGTAGTTTGGACCCGCCTAACCAGAGTAGGTTGTTTTAATTGGTTGGCCCACTATAAACGAATGAGAATTTCAGATAAAAACAATGTACATTGTACATTTTAAACATAAGAATGATGATAAATCAGGAAAAAGGTAAGGAGGAGGTGAGGGAGTATAAGGAAAAGAGAATATACTCAGCGTAAGGGTTGGAACAGAGGGTAACATAAGTTATTAAAATCATGTTTATGAACTACAGGGTGAAGAAGATAGTAAAGACTAAGTTTATCCACATGATACACATTTTTTTACAGATATAATTTGCATAACTATCTAAAGAGATCTTGGCGACTTTTCTTTTAAACGATTTTGCAGATTTAGTTTCTTTCAGCTCTAATCCAATCGAATTCCATATTTTTGGAAATAAAGCAGAGGGAAAACATTCTAGAGTTTTAAAGAGAACTAATCTATCCATTCATCTTATTTTACACATTTATCAAAAGCGTTAAATAAATAATTACAAATCTTTTTAATTGCTTAATTCTTGGGTAAAACTATTTAAAAAGATGTTCAATTTTTCTTTCTTTCCAGATCACCAAAACTATTTTTTTTTCACTGAAGTTAGGTATGTTTGCGCGGAGCACCATAATAATTTACGGGGTTTTACTTGCTGAATTTTTGTGTAAAAAATATTAAAGACAATGAAGCCTTTTAATGTCAAAATTTAAAATTTTTTCCATCACATCATATACAATCATTTCATAAATGAGGTCCGCTTATAGGCACCTCCCAGGTGGGTTGCACTTGTAGGGGGGGCACGTGCACCCAGTACTCCCCCTCG